AATAACAAAATACTAAAGAATTTGGATTATTTACCTAACGAGTTCTTTCCTATTTTCTGTATATTTTTACACACACACACACACACACACACACACACACACACACACACACACACACACATGTATATATATAGTTTATGCAAATTTAGGTAATCCGTATGGGCAGACATGAGGAGGATGATATCCAGAGAGCTCAATGTAAAATTCAGAGCAGATATGTTTGAATAAAAGACAGACCACGTTAAGATTCCATGTAATAAGCTATTTCACCATAACCCCTTTAACAGGGTTCTGGTGAAATAGCTTATTACATGGAATCTTAACGTGGTCTGTCATTTATTTACTTCCAAAAGCTGAAATGAAAAATGAAAAGAACTTCACACGTTTTTTACAGACCTCATCAAGTATACGCAAAGTTAACGAAGTGAGGAAGTGAGGTGGGTGAGAGGATATGAGTGTGTCATATGTATCATTTTAGTTTCCTATTTTAACCCCAGTGTGTCGGCTGGATGTTGCTCAAATCTAACGCGTCTCGTCTCTAGATAAAGGTGGTTAAGGGGTGAGCGATAAGGACTACATTAAGGAAGACGTTTCAATAACCCCAATAAATTACACGACAGGTTTCATTCAAATTCTTAGACGCTGTCAGTTCGCGTTACTTTAACGTGCATATTTGGGAGGTTAAGGTTTGATTAATATCTAAATTTTAAAACAATCTACGAAGAAATTAATTTGAAATTCGGTGGAGTTTTGGGTATTTTCTATGAAGCAGTCGACATATGACACACTCATATCCTCTCTCCCACCTCACTTCCTCACTTCGTTAACTTTGCGTATACTTGATGAGGTCCGTAAAGAAACGTGTGAAAAAAAACGTTTTCATTTCAGCTTTTGGAAGTAAAGTCTGATGATCCAGAACCCTGTTAAAGGGGTTATGGTGAAATAGCTTATTACATGGAATCTTAACGTGGTCTGTCTTTTATTCAAATATATATACATATATATATATATATATATATATATATATATATATATGTGTGTGTTTTGAACAATAGAAAATGATAAATAATTACAATTTTCAGACATAGTGTTTTGTATATTAATATTTGTTTGTTTTATTATTTTAATTACGTTCCGCGACTAATTTCGTCTAGTATGGCTATCATCATATGAAAAAGAAACTGCTTGTTAGTAATGATGAACCTCTGGAATAAATGACAGTTTCTGGGGACAGTGAACTTTATAGTTTTCATTTGTTCTTTTTATCATTAATTTTGGTCAGTACTTCAATCGGTCAAACGACTTCTTTGTTTTTAAGATAGTGGATGGGAGATTCCTGACTAAGAATGCCCTCCTTGGTAATTATGACAGTTTTATTCGTTGTTGAAAATGGGTTGTGTGTGTGTTTAGTGTAAGTTATCTTTTAGTTCTTTGAGAGTTTGTGTGATGTGATTATGTGTATATATTTTTGTGAGTGTGTGCATAAGGGTGAGACCTAAAAACCTCTGCAATATGTCTGTCTTGTTTGGGAGAGAAATGTTTGTGGGGAGGGGTTGATTTATGGGGGTTATATATTAATACTATCTATGCTGTTAAAATTGTTGTTAATCCCGTCTGGACGAAGTGTTTTTGAGGTGCTAAATTCATTTGTTTTCATGTTTATCTAGTATTTTTCTAAGGCTATCTTTTCTGTCTATTTCTATTTTTTCAATTATATTGAATTTTGAACGGCTTTAAAATCTTTTTCTAGGCGGAAATTTTGTTCTGCAGGTAATAATTTTCGGGGGCAACTGACTTGATCCGATGCCGATAAATATTAATTCTATAGTGAAAGGGGCATTTAGATTTTCCCATACTTTTTCTCTCATAGCGTGCATTCTAATAGGTAAATTGTCTTATGACATTTACAGTTAAGTTGTTGAAGATTTTTAGTGACTGAGCTATTTAACGAATTGGTATGTCTATGTTGTTACAACATAGGCGACATTTGTTGTTACATGGTTGTGAAAATCCAGTTGTTTTGTTTTTGGTCTATTATGGGTTACATTATCATGTGTAATTTGGTTACTACCTATAATTTGCATAAGGTTCTGATGTGGGGCCAAAGTTGGGACCACAGAAGTAAAACACGGAACACGGATTAGATGTAAGAAAGATATATTAACAAGAGGTTACAGAGATAGTGTAAGCGGAG